ATTTCAACATTTTTATTATTATTTAAGATTTTTTAAAGCATATTTTCTGATATTACTCCGAATTGAATTCCATTAAGGTAATAGCTGCATTTACAATAGAATTTATTGTGTTTGTAACTGCGTTTGAAATAAATCATTATCATTGTTGCTTATTGCTACTTAAGATGGATTTATTAATACAGATTATATTTGGGGAGAAAAAAAAGCACGTTGGAGAATTGAAATTGAATCTTATAAAACTCAAAAGTATATATTAAAGCACTATGTACTTTTGTTATTTTGTTGGTGGTTTTAAATGCATATGCCATATAAACAAATTCTAATTTATATATTCCTAAGCAATATTGACTCATCAGTTGACAAATTTCTAAATTCTGAAGCTCTGAATTTTACTCAAGAATAATGAGCAAAAAAATAATTAAAAAACGGCCGTAAATACTATATATAAAACTTTATTTATTGTAACTCTGGTTTGCTTTTACTACATAATTTTCTCTACTTAAAATTGTGGTTTAAAATTAATTAACGTAGTAAAACAGTCTGTTCTCTTCTAATTAACAAAGAATTAATTAAGATGTTACGTCTGGAATTTTGTTATTGCTGGTGTTTAATATTCCATCACTGGAAAGTACTTCTGTGATCCTTTGAGAGAGTTATATTTTGATTAATAATTATGAGAAACTTTTTTCTTGACGAAAGGCAAGTTAATCTTGCTTGAAAACATTACATTTAAAATAAAAATATCTTGCAAGAATTATATTCTTTATATTATGCTTTTAATTTCAACGATATGAATAATACTTTGGCATTTTTAAATTTAATTTTTTAGTTAATTTTGGAGGATTTTTTATGTATGAGATTCGAAATATTGTTGTAAATGTTAGTAATTTTTTTTATTTTTCAAAATTAATTAAAATTTTGCACACAATTGGAGAATAAATCAAAACTCTTTTACTAATTTAGATCAGAGTGATTTTTAATATTTCGATGATAATTTGAAGTTAAATTATTATTTTATTATTCGACTTTGTTTTTTTTTCAATATTATAAAGGAAGAATCTAATAAAATCATTAATTTAGTGATGTGTTACATTTACAGTCGAATAATTAGTTTTGCTTATAAAGATCTTTTATTCACCTGTCTTTGTCGATCTAACAATCAAAATTTATGATTCTCTTCTTCAATTTCAGATTGTTTTATTCAATTTTTAAAAATATATTGTATATTAAATCTAGTGGTAAATTCTACTAGAAAGTCAGAAATATTCAGAAATGTTTAATTTAAATAATTTTTTTTAGGTTATCGAATGTGAAAGTTATTTTTTTGTAAATCGAAGAGCACTAAAAATGATCTAAATTTTTGTTTATCTGTTCTGAATTATTATTATTTGAACTTAAATTATACCAGAGTATTTTACAACATGCAATCTAATCGTTCATTTATTCAGATTACTTAATGGGATAAACATTTGAATGTTGAATAAATAAACAATGTTGAATGTAGCCCCAAAAGTGAAAACTGTGATGCGGTTCCAATAACTGGTAAATTACAAAAAAATTAAAGTAAATAACTTATTTTTAATAAGTTTTTCAAGATAAAATAGAAAATATTAATTTATTTTTTAAGATAATCTGTAAATAACTTCTGTAGTTTTATTATTACGCTTTTTGTATAATTAAATTGTGTAAAATTTAAGTTCAGAAAATATTAAAACATTTTTTTTTATAAACTCTGTAATTTGATAACTCAGTTTGAATTAACCACATTTTATTTCGCGGGATTATTTCAGAAAATTATTGTATTGTAATTTGATACTAAAATTGAATACAAATTGCACTTTCAACTTCAACTACAATTAGTTTAATCAGGAAGACAGATAGATAGATTCCTTACCGTCAATAATGTTTTCGTTATTTCTAATTAATTCTGTAGATGATGCTTTGTTGATTCAACGCAAAATTCACTTTAAATGTATAAATTTATTTATTAATAATAAAATCGATTATTTAAATATATCGTGGAATGCAGAAATATTTAAATTCGCGAGGTTCAAAATATTAAAATTTATGTCAAAACGAACGAGAAAATAGTAAACGTATAGATTAAAACATAACGAAATACAAATGTAAACTTTTAAGTAAGAATTATCATTGAAAATATCGCAAGAGTGTGAAATTTGAGAATAAAATGAAAAAGGAATGGCAGGAAAACATAGATACGTGTAGAGATAACAAAATGAGAGGAAAATGTAAGTGAAAAAGTTGAAAAACTTAATCATTTTATTTCATTTTTTTCATTTTATTGAACAATTTAAAAATGCGATATAAAATTTTAATTTTTTAAAATTTCTTAATCATCGCCATTATTTGTTTTCGATTTCTTTTGTGAAACATAAGGTATTATGTCAACTATGGAAACGTGCTATAGGCTATATAAATTTTAAATTTGTTTAAATCTATTAAAATACTGTAAACATTACAATCGAAGTGATAAAATTAATTTGCTAACTAAATTATATTATAAGTGATATTTATTCTCTTTGAAGATTCAGAATAGATATTTGCTAATATTTTGATTGTGTTATTAAATATACTTTATAAAATCATTAACAGCGAAATATAAGTGTACATTCTTAAAATCTATTCTACAATTGTTTGTAGATTAAAAATACAGATAATTATTACATAAAACCATTTAAAAATATCTAATATACTCCCAATTTTTTTTAATTATTTTTTTTATGTAATTCTTATTCTGTAAAAATATTTTGTGCATAATTAATATTTTATTAAAAGGTAAATGACCAAAAAATTAAAGTAAATAACTTATTTTTAATAAATTTTTCAAAATAAAATTAAAAATATTAATTTCTTTTTGAAAGTAAAATGTAAACAACTTCTATACTTTTATCATTACGTCGTTTACTTAACAAATTTAATAAAAATCATGTCTTGTAGCAAATTTAAATTTCAATAAAGCACTGCAACAATCTTTAAATTTAAAACAAATTTAATCATTTAAATTAACAAAATTAATTCAATTTCGATTCATTTCTTTATTAAATATTTCAAAATTTTCGAAATCATTTTAATTTGAATGATGTAAAGAACGTATATTTTTAAAATTTCTAACATTTTTGTATTATTTTAATTAATTTATAAATTTTAATGCTTTAGTTTTTCAATCATTATAAGACTATCAAATTAGTAAAATTAAAAAAAATTGCATTAAATTTTTTTAATATGTATTAAGAAAACGTGTGATTTCCAATGGCTTATAAAATATTTTTAGTGTAAAGTAATTAATAAGTAGAATAACCGCTCTTAATTTTCTCGACCATACCAGGTTGTCTAATTACAGGAAATAAGTGACTTTGCTTTAATAAATGTCTTGGGTTCTAGGTCTTTGTTCTCAATAGAGCGTGGGATGAAATATAAAAGCAGTTATTAATCACGAAATTAATTTTTTGAAATGTGCTATTTACGTTATAAAATATTTTTATGTATACTTTTTAATATTTCGATGATAATTTGAAGTTAAATTATTATTTTATTATTCGACTTTGTTTTTTTTTCAATATTATAAAGGAAGAATCTAATAAAANAAATTCCTATAAAGGATTTGTTTTTCTAATATGTTTAATATAATTTATTTTAAACTTATTCTATATTTGATTTCTGTATGTATAATTTCTTTACATTTGTATTCATTAGTTGATTATGAAAATATCAATTAAAAATAAAATTAAAGTTACCCTTAAATCTTATTTATTGAGATGAAGTGGACCAGAAAACCAATCCAGATTAACAAAAATCATGATAAACTGAAAATAGTGGATACTGAAATAAATTCTAAAATTCCATACTGAAAATACTTTTTAATAATAGAAAGTAAACTTACATACTTTACTTACTTGAAAACAATAGGAACATTAATATTATATAAATAGGCACATAAAAATTATTTAGTACAAAGAAACAATGTATTTTTATTTTTACAGTTGTGAGATTGCTAAATAGATATGTATTAAGATTGTAAATAATGTTTAAATGGTCTTACGCACATTGCAAAAAATAATGTTTTTACAAAATGAGTAAAACTATAAATGAATATTTAAACTGCTTTAGATATCTAATATAGAGATTTGACTGTATTTCATAATTTCTCATCACAGTGGAGCCTAACATAAAATTAATTTTTAAAAATATTTTTGGTTTTCGTTTTATAAGCATGTTCTTACTAGGAAAGTACATTTAAGTAAAGTGTGCCTTTAAAAATACAATTGATATTTAGTCGCTTCTCGAGATAATGGAGGAATAATTTCTCAATGTTGTCAGCCGAAAAAAAAAAGAAAAATAGACAAAGGTAAAAAGCAGAATTGGGTTTCACGTGATAATATTTCGTCTTTCAATCGATTTTATTTCGAAGCAGATGTCGGTGAAAGAATCCAATAAATGCTCTGATTGTCCCCTAGGATAGCAATTTTGACTCTTCACCCGCTTCATACCGGAGCTGAATAAACATTTTGCGAAATATTAAATGCTTCAACTTTCGTTTTATTATTATTTTTTTTTCTAAAATTCCGAATTGAAGATTTTCCAGCAAATAATCCGCTAGAAAAAGTTGTGTATATAGAAAAGAAAAATATCTGCGCGTGACGAAACTTAAAAGATTGTTTGCTTTAATTACCGAAACAACGAAAGAACTTGCATTACATAAAAACGGCGAAAGTTGCCATTATGAGTTTTTTTATCTGCGGAATGCGAATGCAAAATGATAAAGCGTTATACTTCGGAATAAGGAAAGAGCTGCTGCTGGCGTTATTGCGATCGTGCAGGATGAGATGCTGAAGCTGACGTTGCTATAGCAACGGATGTAGGAGGTGAAACGTGTGATCGGAGCACGCGCTCAACACTCGCCTCTTCATCCGAACGAAGGAAGGACGCGGTGTAAGATGCGAATTTAAATGTGACGCCCACGTTACAACAATTCCCGAATCATGATTCGTGGCAGCAGTCGGCCAGAAGCCAACAGCGTTACCGCCATCAAACCCGAAGAGGCAAAACTAGCTACGGAACAGCTCTCTACACGTTACAGGTAAAATGCTAATTTATCATTTTGATGCCCCAAAAATGTTCCGTAATCTCTGTATTTTTTTTATTTATTACTGTCGTTGGCATTTGCCACGCATTCCTTCCAGCGACGGAAATGATAAGAAGCGTATTTACTTTACTTGTAATAACGATATTATCGGGGAGCGTGTCTTATCTGTTTTATGCACCTCACGATGTTTATTCAGAGAATATATAAATGGATTATCAGCAAATATAACTTGACTAGAGTATGATTTTTCAATTTCCTGTACACAGCGGCAGATACGGTGAGTGCAAGAATGGCCACGTGTTTAAAACATCGAAATAAATCGAAATATTATACAATCGAAAGAAAAAATAAGCAAAGATCTAAGGTTTATATTACAATAATTTGCATTTAAAAATTTGGCTAACTGACAATGATATCGATTATTATAGTGCACTAAATGCCAAAATGTTTATTCCATTTTTTGTATAAACTATTTTAAAATTGGAATTGCTTACTTTAAATACTAAGTTTTATGCTTTTTATGTAATGGTGTATTTCTCCCATTTATCTGAAACGCTTTAATTATCCATCAAGTTAATATATAAATTATTCCCGATTATAATAATTGACAACTCTAGANCTATCCATCAACCAAAGCCGAATATTATCATGCTAGAAACGGCTATAATACTAATAATGGTTTAGTAAAGATGTTTGATTACTAACATAACATAATTTTTTCAATTTTGCATATTACTAAATTAATGTGGTTTTTTTAAGGTTCTTTCTTAAAACTTTACAGAAAAGAATAAATTATTCTTATTTATTTTTACTTTTCCAGATGTTATAATAAAAAAAATTATTCCCCAAAATTTTTACATTTTTGGATTCAGGACACTTTGAAATGTCGAGAAATGCAAAAATATTTGGGGGTTCTGTATGTATGGATATTAGTGTGTGGGGCATAATTTTGTTCACCCTCTTTGAAGCTTAATAACTCTTGTGCTTTTTGTCGAAAATTTCTGAAATTTTGCAGGATGGTTTGTCTATTAGGGGATTGATGCTATTAAATTTTGGTTGTTAAAGGTCGACAGGGTGGGGAGATAATGGAGGTCACATGTATCTTCAGTAGGGTCAGACTTAATGATGACTTTACTTTTATTAGCATTTACAATTTTTTTTATAAAACTCATTCCTACTCACAAAATTTGGCTTTTTGCTATTTTATAATAGTTAAAAACATCATTCTATTTAAAAACTTTTTATAACAGATGGTGCCACAAAAATTTTAAATGTTGGGAAAGTTGAGTGACTCATTGCTGGTTTATTTTGTTAAGTAACTAACATGTATCTCCATAAACATGCTTAAAGTGTTTGTTTTCTGAATGCCAAAGAAAGTTTTTCATTTTTGAGTTTTGTCGTGTAAATTTTTAAGAAAGATGGATACTAATATTTTCAAATTCCACTTAAATCTTATATTTTCTCCGAAATAATTACAGCTTGCAAAATGTATTGCAACTAGTTGTGAAGCATTTCTTTGAGTTATCAGAAATTGCTGAATCATCATTTTATTATTTCATATCAATATTATAAATATCAATTGTTCAAGAATTTTTTAATTAAAAATCTTCCTCAATTTTTTTTATCATTTGCGAAAGACTATTTGAAACTATTATTAAAAACATGCCAGAATGTACAAATATATAAATGTGTGTATACATTTAAAATCTATAAAGTGAGTAAAAAAATAATAATAATTTTAGTGTAAATGCTTCTGTTAAAGTCTGTTTCAAACAATATAATGTATAAGAATTGGCACCTCTAGACATATTTTACACAATGGTAATAGACTGTTAAATCTGTCTTTTGACAGTAATCCAGTATACTCATTTGTTTCCTGTTAAATATTTGATGTATTTTCACACAGTTTCTAAATTAGAAACATAAACTAATTTTTGTCAATACAGTAGAACCTCGATTATCCGGACTAATTGGGGATGAAGGTAGTCCGGATAAGGAAAAATCCGGATAATCGAAACAAATACTTTAATTTGTCTTTTAATGATAATACAACACGTTTTCTTTTCGATGACATATCGGTAATATTAAAAGTAAATACTGTATTTAAACCGTGATCAAATTTTCAAGAAACAAACGTTTATATTGTATTGAATTTGGACTACTACTGACCAACGCTAACAGACCACCTATTGTTTAAAAGGCCCTCTGGTGGCGCAAGAAGACGGATTTTACTTTTATACAAAAGAATCAACAAATGATGTTAGAGAATTCTTTAATGTGAAGTGATTTGTTTTGAACTTAGAATGGTTGAAAATGTAGTCCTCAAATCTTGGAATATAACTGTGTTAAGAAGATAAAAATAAAATTACAATTATTTACTTTGTTAGTTTATAATTTTTGATTTTGGTCTATTTCTATAATTTTTTTACTGTATGCTAAATAAATATTAAAAATAAACTGTTTCAATTCATTGTTCTAATAAGAACTCATTGCTTCTTATGATAACTTACTCTCTTCCAAAAAGAGTTGTTAAAGAATTAAATAGATTTTAATCTAACTTATTTAAAAAGCTACATAATATCAAATACATACATACATGTAATAAATCTGAATAACTAGCTAAATAACCACCAGAACTATCACATTTTAAAAATTTATCTGCTAAATTGAGGGGGATCATATTCTTATTGTATTTAACAAAGTTACAGTTTAGTTTAAAACTAGCCTGGTAAAAAACTTCATTTCATTTACTTGTAATTTTTTATTTATACACTTGTTTACAGCAAAGCATGTTAATAATACTGATTTTGCTATAAAAATGGACAAAATCTAAATCATCAATACAATATATTAATAACAAAGATATTGAAAAAAAACAAATGGAAAGAATTTCATCAATAATAGAGAGGTTGAGGCAGACGTTTTAAACGTGTAAACATGTAGGTCGGATGTCGGCGCCGCTTTCCCGTAAGCCTAAAAGTTTGACAATGGTGTTTGGATAGTCGGTGGAATCACGCTCGACATTCCAAACATCATCATCAAACTTCTAGGCTTACGGGAAAGCGGCACCGAACGTCTGTCCTACACGTTTAAAACGTCTGCCTCAACCTCTCTAATATATATAACTTATACCACGAACAATAGAATAATTTTTTACTATAACAGAATGTAATGAATAATATAAATGAATATCATTCATATTATTCATTGTAATGATTAAAAATGTGATAAGTGGTAATGAAATAAACTAATATCTTAAGCAAAATATTCAACGTAACAGAATAATTTGACTNATTATTTACATATAATTAATATTTGTTTGTTAAAATCTGTTGCTTTTAAAAACCTTTTAAAAAATACAGTAAAATATTACTGTTGTTTTGGATATTTCCCCAAAACAAACAAGTTTAAAATAAAGGATTTAGTACCAAAACATGACTTGTGCAGTTTCAAGAAAAATCAATATTTTTATGCAAGTCTCTTCTGTAATGATTAACCAAGTTTTATTTAGGGTTGTTAGCATATTATTAGGGTTATTGTTGTTAGCATATTATGTTAGCCTGTCTAGCTGCTGTCTATTATTATTATTTGTGTTTCTATTCTTCTTTACAAAGCAGGCTTCTGAAGGGTTTTTGATTTGTGTGCTACTGACTGTGGATGCAGTTTTAGTTCATGGTACATTATTACTGTGACTGCACCTGCATAGACTAGTGTGTGAATGTCTGAAAATATAGAAGTAGAATGAGTGCAATCTGGTAATATGTAAGTATTTACCCTACTAGTGTAGAAGTGTTGATTTTGGTAATGTATGGCTGTTGTGCAGGGTCAGTACCTGTAAATTTAGTGAGTGTTTCTTGGGGAAAATAAGAGAGTATGAATTAAATCTGAGTCTATTTCTGACAGTGAAGAAGTGTTGATATTGTCAGCATCAGTGAAAATGGTAATAGGAACAGCTATGTATCTAAGTGATTGTCAATGCTATGTATCTTGATAATCCTAATGGATAATATGATTGTTGTTGATGTTGGGAGTATTTGTTGATTAGTGTAATTGTTCTGTGATTTGTTGTTTGATGTATTCTAGTGTTGTTTGTGGTAATTGTTCTTTTTTGATCAACAACCCTTTTTACAGTGATTGTGAGATGAGGATAATGTTGTGAAAAGAAATGATGTAAGCGTTGTCTGTATGCTGTCATGTCTGTTTCAAGTTTTGTGATGATGAAGTAAGTACAGATGAAACTTGCTTATTTCTGATGGCCATTTCATCTGATGGCATGGTTTACTTGCCTTAGATACCTGTGGCTGGATTGCCTCAAAAACATCAAAATTAGGCTGGTTTCCCAAAACTGGTGTGGACATTGCAGTACCCCTACTTGGACCAGTGCTGCTTTCACCACTTGTGGTCAAGGGAGTGTGTGAGAATTTTTTGAACATGAGCCTCTGCCTAACTCATGAGTGCAGACCTTGTTAACTCAGGTGACATCCAAGCCAGTATTACACTTGAATCATGTTATTACCATGGTTAAATCTCCACAGATGTGGGTTCAGTCATTCTTGGCTTCATTTCTCCCATGGACCTCACTGGCATGGTTGACCCTACCAAGAGCATATGCTCTAACCAGCATAGCTCTGATTCATCAGAAATGTTGAGCTCTCTCACCACAGCAAGTTGGTGACTGGAGAGAGAGTTATTATTATTAATTACATAGCAATTTGGTTATAGGTAGGTTTGTATGGTTAAATTGTTTTATTGCACTATTGCAGTTTGTCTGTAGGTGTATGATAGAGAGAGAAACTATAACAAATTGAACTACATAATAACCAGCTTACAATTGTAGATGAGAGTACATTAAACATAAGTTTTCAATGTTTGTTAAAAGAATTGCAAAATCTAATTTAAATAACTGTATATTTTCAGCATATCCGATATTTCTATACTTCAAATTAAAGCTTAAAATATTCTTTCTGAAATCTTAATTATTTTTATTACTTTATTCATTTTCTTTTTACATAAGTGAAATTAAAAAATTTCAAAAAAGTTTCCTTTAGGCTAAAAGAAGTCTATATATTCATCATTTGTAATTAATTAATCACTAAATTAGAAATCACTTATATTTTTAAGCTATTATAAAAATTATAATAATTTTATATTGTATAAGTATTCTTCATTTTCACTTAGAATTATTTTATCTTGATTCTAACAAACATTCTTAATTTTTATTTGTCCAAAATAGAGATAGGTGTTATAATTGAAGGAATCTTACATTTACAGTTAAGAAGGCATTTCCAATAGAAAACATGGTGCATTACATACTGATGATATTTATTTTTAGCTATATTATTCAATGATTGTATCAGTTCAAATGAGTTTTGTTTTACTAGTAACAAGTGTTTAATATTATGGCATTTGTATTGTTTTTCTAAACTGTAGTATTCTTAGTTTGTATCAATAAAATTGATTACTTTAAAGTTTCTCTCTTCATTAAAAAAAAATCTGAAAATTTGATTTCAAAATCATGGTGTCTCTTAGAATCAGTGGCATCTTAGAAATGAACAAATATAGTATATATAATTTTGTAACAATTATTTATATTTTATTATGCCAATTTGTTATGAATTTTGAATATTAATAAAATAATTTTTTATTTTTATGTTAGCTCTTCTTCAGATGATGATTGTGAATTTTCTGTTTCTTTTGAGCCACAAGAAAATATTAAGAAAAGTACTAACTGGACAGTAAGTCTGAATTATCTATAACACACCTTTAACTGCCGTAAACCATCGGGCTATAATTTGGCAATAATAATTCCTATAATTAATAATTAGAAGGAGGCTATTATTGCCTCCTAGAAGGAGGCAATAATAGCCTCCTTCTAGGGCCAACTTTATAAATTACTAATAAAGTTGGCCCTAGAAGGAGGCATTAGGTGCCATCTTGTATTAAATTTAATAGTTATAATTTTAATCTAATATGAGATGATGTTTAACGCCTTCCTTAGGGCCAAATTTATTAGTAATTTATAATTATTATTGCCAAATTATAGCTCGGTCATTTATGGCAGTTGAAGGTTATTGCAATGTATCAGCTTTAGTAAAGTGATTTGTATTGAATTATCTACTTAATTATGTTGAACATATAAAATATTTTATAGAATAAATAAAAATTTAAATATAAAACTCCTTGAAAAGGCAAGAAGAAATTTATAAGCATAGAAAAATATGTTTTTGAATACTAGCAAAATATTTGAAGTTTTTTTAAATAAGTTTTATAATTCAATTTATAGAATATATTTTAAATTGAATAAATTAATTCAGAATTTTATTTTAAAATTTAACAAATTATTAGAAATTATTTTGAGTTTTTTAAGATAATTTGAATTTTTGTACTTAAAGGTAAAGTGATTGTAACATATCAAAAATGTTTGGGCGGTATAAAATATGCGTGATACAAATCTGTGTTATGCTTATTTTCAATACCAAAAAAAAAAACTATTTTTAAAATACTATAATATGGAATAAATAGATAGATTAATTTTACAAAAAAAACATGAATTAAATAAAAACACCAAAAAATAAAAAACAGTAATTATGCAATTTGTGATATTTTACTAGGGATGTAGCAGTCTTCCATCAATTAAATATAGCATTTCAAAAATCAAATAACATGTCAAGGAAAATACAAAAAAAAATTTTCAAGAATAATAAAATATTCCAAAGATAAATATATAGTACAGTGGGTGATCGGTTAACGAACAGATCGGATAACGAAACCTTCGCGAAATATTTTCATGTTCGGACAACGAACACACGATTGGATAACGAACACCCCACAGAACAAACACAAGAAGCGACGTAAAATAATGAATACCGATTGGTCTTCCTTTGTCTTCGAGCAACAATTCGAAACTTTTTGGAGTGTGGGAGGCATCGACATCGACGCTCAAGCCGGTATATATTGATCGGATAGTTTTCCTCCGAACTTTGAAACACTCTCTTGTAATTCCAGCCTTTTATTTTTCTGACAAAACAATTCTTTTATGTATTCGCGAGACTGTCGGGTAGGCACTCGTTAAGTTTTGCGTCCTTTTTTTTTTTCGAAAGACGAGAGTATAATAGCAAAGGTAGAGAGTGGGCAG